AGACGATAAAGAAGCGCTTGTGGGGAGGAAACCCCACCTAGGTTTGCATTTCCTTTCCTTTTTCTTTTTAATTTCTATGTTTTTTAGTCTTGAGGTGTTGTCCAAGGTTCGGATGTCGATTTTGCGCGAAAACAGGTCGAAACCGTGGCTCTGGAATTCCACACGGCCGTGTGGAATTGCCCTTTGGCCGTGTGAAGGCCCTGGAATTTTCACACGGGTAGAAGGGGGCCTCTACACGGCCGTGTGAAAACTTCGGCCAGCCCGTGTGGAATTCTCGGCGCCACACGGGCAAAAACCCGCTCCACACGGCCGTGTGGCATGCCTGTGTCGCGACCCTGGCCCCTATAAATTTGGCCTACACGGCCGCGTTGGCCAGAAAACCCACCTTCCCTCGCCGGAATCCTCTCCCCTCGCGGGAAAAACGCGCCTTTTCAATTATTATTTTTTTGCGATTTTCCGGCCGTTTTTGGTCGGTTTTTCACAAAACCAACCTCATATTCCATCTCCTCCCCTCTTTTGTGGCCCATCCCTTCATTTTGAGGTGTTTTGGACCGGATTTGGGTCGCCGGATGCGATTTCCGGCGAGACTCCGGAGAGGCTCTGACAAGCATTTTCGGGTCGAATTTCGGGCTTCCGTCGCTTCCATTGACTTCCTCTCATCATCCCCTACACCTCTACTTGTGTCTCTAGGTTTGATTTTCCCCTTTACCTTGTTAATTGTGGAGAATTGGGTGTTAAGGTGTACCTTTAGAGAACCGCTTGGAAATGTGTGAATTAATTGAAATTGATTGAGGGGAAGGCTTGGATTATGTGTGGATTGTGTTGGGCAATGTTTCCCTTGCTTGATTGAGCCCTTGTGTGCTAGGAATTTGCCCACTCTATGCTTAACTTACAAGTGCACACAAGGTGTTCGATGAAATGCCTGTTTTTCATACCCTTTTGTGGGAGCCGGTTGGGGCCCTTAATGATGTGATTTGATGGTGTATTTGCTATGGATGTGAACCTTAAGTTGTCTACTTTATTGTGGATGTGCAACCCCACCCAGATTGTGCTTGTTTGCTCGAGTTATTAACCCCCGAACTATGGATGAAACTATGGTTCGGCTGTTTTCTGTTATCAAGTGTGGGGGTGTGATTGACCGTTTCTTTGGCTTTTTTGGCTCCACTTGGGTTTGCTTTCTTGCAGGAACATGTCAAAACCTGATCTCAAGCATCGGTTCATCCGCGATTTGAAGAGGGGCCCCCACAAGGATCGCTTCAAGCGCGTCCTGGCCTCTAAGTTTGGGAAGCATCACTACTGGTCTAGGAGGGAGTTTGAGAAGCTGAATTGCTACGAACACTTCCTCGCTATTGCCGCCAAACCGCACATGGCGCTGGCTATTGTCAATTCGTGAGAAGGTCTACCACGAGCTGGTGCTCGAGTTCTATACGACTTTTCGGCACGAAGAGACAATCGAGTGGGCGGGCAGCAAGGCCATCAAGTTCAGGCTAGGCGGTGAGCCCCGTTCCATGAGCTACCATGATTTGGCGGTCGCTCTCGACCTCGACATGGAAGATGACAAGGATTATGTCACTGAGCTCAATAATCCGGCCGGTGTTAACTTCAAGGTGCTGTACAACTAGCTAGCTCAGCCCAGTCAGGTCCCATTCCATGCAGGGCGGACGAAGGCTAGCACCCTGCAGCTCGATAACCGCATTCTCCACCACATGCTAGCAAAGTCCTTCACTCCGGCTGGGGAAAGTGCCAGCACCCTGACCAGGCGGTCCATGTACTTCATCCAGTCCATCTGCACAGCGAACCATGATCTACACCTGGGGTCTGTGGTGGCAAGGACTCTGGACAAGAGTGCTGTTAATATGGGGACCCTCCACTGCACCCCACTCATCACCCTCTTGGCAAACTATTTCCAGATCCCATATCAGAATTGCACAGAGCAGGGGGACACTTGTGTCTTCGGCGAAGACACAATCTCGAAGATGCACCTGCTGCAAGTCGAGCGTGGCGTCAAGTGGATTGAGGGGTTTCCTGCTCCGCCCCTCCCTGCGAAGGATTAGCCCGCAGTTCCTGAGGATGATGCCACTGAGGATGTCCACCCAGATGATGTGGACGCTGCTGCCACCCACACCGCCCCTCACCATACCACCTTTGAGTACGGGGGTGGTAGCTCCACTTTTCCATCCCAGGACTACTTCACTCACCAGTTCTAGCAGCTGAGTCTCCAGAATCAGCAACTCCTCGACCACCATCTCCAGTTCCAGCAGCAGTACTCGGCTCACTAGGCCGAGTACAACACCGGGATGGCTGCATATGATGAGCGCCTCAACCACATGAAGGCCCAGCAGGGGATGACCCTTGCTCACATCGAGAGGGAGCGGGGCTAGTCTCGGCGTATACATGAGGTCCAGCAGCACCTGCTGCAGCTGATACCGGAGCAACCAGTCTGGAGGACTCCCTGAGAGGACTCTCCACTTCCACCACCCGCCAGTCAGTGATGATACATTCATGGCCGACATCGACCTTGACAACCTTGGCGACGAGTATTCTGTACTCGTCGCCCTTTCGATTATGTTTTTGTTTTAGACTTTTCTTATTTGCTCCATGTGTGTGCGGAGCGTGAACTGAGTCTTTTGTGTGTTTTTTTCTTTCTTTCTTTTTCTTTATTTTGTGGATTGTCCATTTGTGGCCATCTGGGCTAACTCTGATCCCTAACGCACAGTGTGCTAGTGTGTTCTTTATGTTCCCTTCGTGTAGAACTATTCCATCGTTCCATCTGTTCCCCGCTGACTGGTCCACTTCCAGTCACTCGACAGTCTTTCCATCCGGTAACATCGTTCCCCTTCTCTTTCCCTCTGCTCCATTGAGAGCAATGTCGAACTTAAGTGTAGGGGGTGCTTTGTACTGGTTGGAATATATATATGTGTGTGCTTGGAGCCTAGTCCGCTGTCCAAATCTCGAGATTTGAGGGCTCCAAGTACTAAGGTTTGCATAATCATATTGGCACTGTGGATTTGATTGGTGAATCGAATGGCTTTCGAATTAATGTATGGCAACTTGATTGTAACTAGGACAACCTATAATGATGACTGAGACGTGCAGTAGAGTTGTGTAGGGGTTCAGCTTTTCAACTGTTTGCTTACCAACTGTTACTTGGATAGATCACTTTCTCTTGACAGTCGTTTATGCATCTAGTTTAGGGAATCAGAATGAAGAGATAGAGCATATAGGTAGCCATGTGAGATTTGAGCCTGCTCGTTTCTTTCTTGTGCGATAGATACCTCTTCCATGATGTGTAACATTCACGTTGTCACTAGCTGAGATAATGGAGGCATAGGAATAGCCCACGACCAAATTGACTGTCCTGGTGTGTCATACCCCCTAGTCAACCCCTTTGAGCCGTGTACGTTCCTTTCTTTCAGTCTACAATGGAAAATCACCCTTTTGCATCTCGTAGAAGGTTCCACAGAGTGGTTTTTGCATGTTCTCTGCTGTTTATGCTAAATATAGTGTGAGTGTTGGAGGTATTGCTTAAAATTTGGGCGTTTGTTTGAAAATTGTGAAAAGGTGGTGGTTCTGTAACACCCTACCCTATACGTTTTGCCTAATCATATTGTTCATACAATTGCAGCGGAATTAATCTCGGGTGTTACACTAATTATCAAAATTTACCAAAATAAAATTTCGACATGAATTACTCGCGTAATGGACTAACAGTTCTTGCAACTTATCATGCAAAATAATTCATCACAAACATATATACTCACAACCATATGCATTGGCTTTTCTTAGCCATAACCACACTTTTCATACTCCAACCCTACATACCATACTTATACATACCATAATCGTCACAACTTACACAGTTACACAACATACACATATCATCAACTTTCCACACCTGTGGATATCTCACACTACATCAGAAGCTAGTATGCACATGAAAAACGTTCTCAAAACATTTTACAAAAAGGTGTGGATCACTGGCCAAAATCCCGAGTAGTAGTCCAAGCACAGAATAGTTGAAGACCATACCTCATCCTGGCTTCAACTCTAGCTCCTCTCCCACTTAACACTTATCTACTGCTGCTGATGATCTGCTTGCACATAGCATAAGCAGAGAAGAAGAATAAAGAGGGTCGGCTCATAGCTGAGTGAGATAATCATAGCATCGTGAGTTCATAACATAGCATACCCCTATCATACATCTAGCAAATAAGCCAAAGCACTAGGATCAGACCTCAGCCATTCGACATCCCAATAGGCAAAAGACTCAACCACCTTGACTCATGCATATGCATCTTATCATGTTTTACTTATAGGCGCCTGGCTACTCCCATGCTAATAACTCTCCCGGGAAACATACCCCACATCCCGTCGGATGTAGTCATACATACCCCAACATCCCGTCGGATGTGGTCATACATACCCCACACCACTATGGGTGTAGTCATACCCCGACACCGCTCTGGGTGTGGTCATATCTCATAAGAATTCTTCAGTCACCACCACAAGAGAGGTGTGACTATCATACATATCATAATAGAGTAATAGCATAGGGAGCCCTAATTACTATGTAATTGACCGTGAGACCACAACACCCATCTTTGGTATCCTTATACATGATTCATATCTCATCTTGCTTAATCATAATTCATTACTTGCACATGTACTTGACCTGGCCATAATTGGCTCAACATAGGTAAACCAGGAGTCGTATAATTGCACTTCCTCGGGATAAACCCTCGTGCAAGTCATCCTCCTTAAACATCATAATGTCACCAGGGAATATATATTTTCCCACTTGTGCATCCAAATACAACAATCATGAAAATCATACCTAATCACCTTCTCGAACCATCATAAAGCATATTAACAGTCAAGCCCACAATTTGCAACATATACACAATCATCAGCATAAACAAGGTCCATATCGATTAGGGCAAGTCAATAATGTCATACAGCAATCCAGGGTTCAACATATAGCACAAAAGTTCATACACCCCTAATCATGCCATTCTAGTTCACCTAGATCAATTCTAAGTATCAATATAATTATCGTGATACGACAAACCCGGTATGCCGTGCTAATCCCTCACCAGTTCTGGTCGTTCAAACACCGATTTAAGCTTCCCGTACTAAAACGTCAATTTCAGGAACGAACCCCGAATTAAAATCCGAGACCGTCTTAATATCCCCTGCAGTATCCCCGTCAATATTAGTTCTAGGCTCCGGGTCAAATTCTTGATAAAAACACATCAAACCCTGGCCGGAGCTAAATTCAGCGGTTTGGACCCCGACCTAAATAATTGCCGAAATTCTGGGATTAGAACTAGAGGATTGATTACCTCGCTGCAGGAAGCTCGTATATGAAATTTGGGCTCAATCCGGCTTTCGGATACTCCGAAACCCTAATTTGGCTTATCGGGAATTCAAGAAATTCCTGAACCAAAAACTCGTTTTAAAGCTCTAAATCGATAAATCACGATGAATAGATGAATTAGGTATTACTTACAGAATTTTTGGATCGTTAGAGCTTAAGAATTAAGCTCTGTTATTTCTCACCGAGCTGTCCTGTGCGCGCTCTGTTTCTCTGGGTATGGAAGAGGAAAGGAATGGGACGGAAGTGAAATGGAAAAATGATGATGGGAAAGCTAAATGGACCGGTGGGATTTATATAGGCGGTCTGCCTACTGCAATTATATTATATATATATATATGGTGTATATATATAATTAATTCGTATACTTATCCGATCGATCGATAATTCGATTTTCGTCGAAATACTATCAAAACACTCGATTTTAAATCGTGAAATTTTCTAGCGACAATAATACGATTTTAGCCGAAACGGGATGTTACAATTCTCCCCTCCTTAAAAAGATTTCGTCCCCGAAATCTAACCTTGAGTTGTACTCTAACTCGTCTTACTTACCCTTAACATGGTCTATCATACCTAAGGTTATTACCTAACTCTTAGGTTAGGAGATCTGAATTACATAACTAAACACATAACACCTCAAGTTCCCAATATAAGGTTTCAAAAACCTACACTGGGCTATCACAACAAAAGCACATCAACAAATTCAAAACATAACTTACTAAGCAAGATTGTTAACCTGCAAAGTAGGTTGCCACTAACACAAGGTCATACCAACCTATAAAATGGTTGTCACCAGATCATCAAGAATCTTATCCATATTAGAACTCCACCACAACAACTCGTCATGTTAGCATAGTCGAAGATCAACTACATTGCATGGCTAGCCACCATGCTTCTCGATCAGTCGATCGGTTAGTAGTAACACTGAAAGTACTTCTGTGCAAACTACAAGGAAACATTGGCCTTAGTTTGATCCAGACACCATTAAAAATTTCTGCCAAAATCATTAGTTGGACAACAAGATAAAAACTCCATAAAATTTTCAAAACCTTTTAAACCATAACTTTTTCAAGATTCTTTCCAATGCTCAAAATCATGTTTGACCATATGCAATTGACTATGCAACACATCATCACCTTTGGTACCAATCCTGGAAAGTTTAGTGCAAGTACAGGTATGGAGTACTCCCTCCCCTTTCGAGGGTGATCAGTCCTCAAGAGTGAAAGTAACATACCCATAATGCAGAAAACAAACCAGCTCTGATACCAAGCTGTAACACCCTACCCTATACGTTTTGCCTAATCATATTGTTCATACAATTGCAGCGGAATTAATCTCGGGTGTTACACTAATTATCAAAATTTACCAAAATAAAATTTCGACATGAATTACTCGCGTAATGGACTAACAGTTCTTGCAACTTATCATGCAAAATAATTCATCACAAACATATATACTCACAACCATATGCATTGGCTTTTCTTAGCCATAACCACACTTTTCATACTCCAACCCTACATACCATACTTATACATACCATAATCGTCACAACTTACACAGTTACACAACATACACATATCATCAACTTTCCACACCTGTGGATATCTCACACTACATCAGAAGCTAGTATGCACATGAAAAACGTTCTCAAAACATTTTACAAAAAGGTGTGGATCACTGGCCAAAATCCCGAGTAGTAGTCCAAGCACAGAATAGTTGAAGACCATACCTCATCCTGGCTTCAACTCTAGCTCCTCTCCCACTTAACACTTATCTACTGCTGCTGATGATCTGCTTGCACATAGCATAAGCAGAGAAGAAGAATAAAGAGGGTCGGCTCATAGCTGAGTGAGATAATCATAGCATCGTGAGTTCATAACATAGCATACCCCTATCATACATCTAGCAAATAAGCCAAAGCACTAGGATCAGACCTCAGCCATTCGACATCCCAATAGGCAAAAGACTCAACCACCTTGACTCATGCATATGCATCTTATCATGTTTTACTTATAGGCGCCTGGCTACTCCCATGCTAATAACTCTCCCGGGAAACATACCCCACATCCCGTCGGATGTAGTCATACATACCCCAACATCCCGTCGGATGTGGTCATACATACCCCACACCACTATGGGTGTAGTCATACCCCGACACCGCTCTGGGTGTGGTCATATCTCATAAGAATTCTTCAGTCACCACCACAAGAGAGGTGTGACTATCATACATATCATAATAGAGTAATAGCATAGGGAGCCCTAATTACTATGTAATTGACCGTGAGACCACAACACCCATCTTTGGTATCCTTATACATGATTCATATCTCATCTTGCTTAATCATAATTCATTACTTGCACATGTACTTGACCTGGCCATAATTGGCTCAACATAGGTAAACCAGGAGTCGTATAATTGCACTTCCTCGGGATAAACCCTCGTGCAAGTCATCCTCCTTAAACATCATAATGTCACCAGGGAATATATATTTTCCCACTTGTGCATCCAAATACAACAATCATGAAAATCATACCTAATCACCTTCTCGAACCATCATAAAGCATATTAACAGTCAAGCCCACAATTTGCAACATATACACAATCATCAGCATAAACAAGGTCCATATCGATTAGGGCAAGTCAATAATGTCATACAGCAATCCAGGGTTCAACATATAGCACAAAAGTTCATACACCCCTAATCATGCCATTCTAGTTCACCTAGATCAATTCTAAGTATCAATATAATTATCGTGATACGACAAACCCGGTATGCCGTGCTAATCCCTCACCAGTTCTGGTCGTTCAAACACCGATTTAAGCTTCCCGTACTAAAACGTCAATTTCAGGAACGAACCCCGAATTAAAATCCGAGACCGTCTTAATATCCCCTGCAGTATCCCCGTCAATATTAGTTCTAGGCTCCGGGTCAAATTCTTGATAAAAACACATCAAACCCTGGCCGGAGCTAAATTCAGCGGTTTGGACCCCGACCTAAATAATTGCCGAAATTCTGGGATTAGAACTAGAGGATTGATTACCTCGCTGCAGGAAGCTCGTATATGAAATTTGGGCTCAATCCGGCTTTCGGATACTCCGAAACCCTAATTTGGCTTATCGGGAATTCAAGAAATTCCTGAACCAAAAACTCGTTTTAAAGCTCTAAATCGATAAATCACGATGAATAGATGAATTAGGTATTACTTACAGAATTTTTGGATCGTTAGAGCTTAAGAATTAAGCTCTGTTATTTCTCACCGAGCTGTCCTGTGCGCGCTCTGTTTCTCTGGGTATGGAAGAGGAAAGGAATGGGACGGAAGTGAAATGGAAAAATGATGATGGGAAAGCTAAATGGACCGGTGGGATTTATATAGGCGGTCTGCCTACTGCAATTATATTATATATATATATATGGTGTATATATATAATTAATTCGTATACTTATCCGATCGATCGATAATTCGATTTTCGTCGAAATACTATCAAAACACTCGATTTTAAATCGTGAAATTTTCTAGCGACAATAATACGATTTTAGCCGAAACGGGATGTTACAGGTTCTCTCAAGAAATGAAGAAAAAAATGAATGAAAGCAAAAGAGAGCCACTGCCAAAAATCTAAATCATGCTCATTAAGTAGTGTTTCTTAGCAGTCTGGCTTAGAAATACTAACATTATTGTGACCTCCTTCGCTCTTGTGCTTTAGAGAATTTGAGTAATGCAGAATGACAAAAAGAAAGTTACTGGTTTGATTGGCTGTGAATGTGTTGGGTTTGGAACTGTGGAACCTTGTGCTGTGAATACTTCCACCACCTAAAAGGCTTTTTCCCCATTTCCAAGACCCTAGCAAGTCATTTGAACCTGTGTCTAAGACCTCCGGATTAGTTAGTGGTGACATCCCTTGTGTGAACTCTAACATTTAGAGGCTGCCATCATGGTGAAGAGATGTTAGGATTTGAGAGAATAAGTATGCACATTTTTCGCATCAAAGTTTCCTGACCCCACTGGTCGAGAGTGAGCGATTCATTTCCGTGTTCTTTATGCTCTTTACCCCGGTGAGGACCTAGATGGCTCGGTCTTGATTTTGATGTCTTGAGTTTGATGCATGCGATGATTGTCTTGGTTAAGTGTTTGAGTCGAGTCTATGTTGGTTGGTGAACAGAAAGGATTCCTCTTCCTTTACCCGATTTTGCTGCACTCGAATGTCCTCTGTGATGGTTGTCTAGGTTGTTGTTGAGTTGTCCATATGTCAATGATCAAAAGCCGGTATGATTCACGTGTTCCGTGCCTATATGATTTGTCCCGTATCTGACTTGGTTTGCTTGGGGACAAGCAAACGGTTAAGTGTGGGGGAATTTGATGACTTGATATATACAAATGTTTTCATCCACCATTCTTATGCCGTTTGAGCATCATTTCTCGTATCTTAGGCCGATTTCATGCTAGGTTGTTCTCGTTTGTGTTATTTCAGGTCCTAGTATGTGATTGGAGGTTTGGGAGCGAGTTCAGGGTCGATTGGACGAAAGTTGGACGTTTGGCGAGAAGCCGAGGAAACCACACGGCCAGACCTCGCAGCCACACGATCGTGTGGCAGTTGCCGTATGGATCCCATTACGCGGGCAAGACCACACTGGCCGTGTATTGGGTCCCTTGAGGCCGTGTGGAAATTCCAGGGAGCTCACACGATCAAGCCGAGATTCCACACGGCCGTAGCATTTCTGGCCGTGCAGCGTGCATGAAGCTTCTTTAATGGAACGCCGCGTTTTGGCACTCACACGGGCAGACTGGGAAACCACACGGTCGTGTGGCCTGGCCGTGTGGTCGGGAAATTCTGGGTTTTAACCCAATTCTCGAGCCTAAGGAGAGGGAATCGAGTTTTTGAGCAAAACACAAAGCTTTAGAGAGAGAAAGTGCGAAGAACAAACTCTAGGAGCTATTTGGAGTGCATTTCTTACCAGTGAAGCCCAGATTGCATCCCCAGGAGTGAAGATCGACATCCCAGAGCATATTATCCTC